GGGGTACTTCCTTCTAATTTCTGGCTAATTAATGGTGGCCTGTGTGCTGCTGGATGGAGGTTGTCACATTTTCAAAACTGGAGCAACTTTGATGGGGTTGAATTTTTAATATAGTTACTAATAAAATAGGCTTGCACATTTTTAGGATTTTGAGAGCAAGAAAATTCTGATGAGTAGGGATTAAAAAATGGGAAGATTCACCATTGAAAGAAGTTCACATGTTTTATGCTGTTTTTTTAGTATCATCAATGGGCTTGCATTAAATAAATAAATAACAAATAATTTAGTGATGGACATTCCACTGGGTGGCTCTTCTTGTTCACTGTCTCTGGATCAAATTAGAATTTGAAATGTTGGTTTTTGTGGAGGGAGGAAAGGACCCAGAGAAAAACCCTCCAAGCAAAGATGAGAACCAGCAACAAACTCAACCCTTATGTGATGCCAGGTGGGGGAATCAAACTTGGGCCACAGTGGTGGGCAGACACTCTCACCACTGGGCCATCCCTGCTGCCCCCCTAGGATTATAGGATGACCTTCTTAAATGGGTTTATAAGGTAGACATATAAACATAAATTGGTGACGTAAAAAATTTACATTAGTGCAGAAGTTGGCCAAAGAATAGACTATAACAGAGTAGGGGTTCTAAGAGGCCAGTGGCACACACTACCCATCAAAAATTGAGCCTCCCCCCCTCTTCTATCAGGAAATTGTGTCATCCCAGTCTAAGTATAGATGCATAACTTCAATAGTATGAGGCATTCCTTCACTGAATTGGTTTAAAGAAAGTGTGTTTTAAGTGAGTGTAATATTAAGGTGCCACTGACTTTTAATGCTCATGTGGTGTCCTTTCAGACCAATCAATTTTTTAGGTGGATTTAGCAACAGATACACCATCGCTGTTACTTTTGGAGCCACTGCCAGCACATGCCTGCGAATGTTCCTCAAACCAAAATATGGAATTTTTCAGATGCCTGACCCAGCCGGATGGGTGCAAGGTTAGTTATCGAACACTCTGATTTTAAATCGGGTATTTTAGTTAAAATTAGTTTTAAAGTCAGTCTGTAGGTCATTATGAGTTCATCAACAAACTTTACTTGATACAAATTGATTATTTATTTATTTATTTATTTATTTATTTGCAATATTCAGACAGGCTGACCCACTTTAGCTTGAATGTGGGCCCCTGTAAACAATAACAAGGCCACACCACAACGTCAGGAGCTACAATCTCTGCTCTTATTGCAAGAGGTGCCTGCACAGGTTCTGTAACATCTCCTGATAAAAGCACAGAGAAGATGTAGAAGACAGGGCCCACAGTTTTTTTGTCCTTATCTGAGAAGACAAGAATATCTAACCGTTTGCTGATGTTACTCAGTTATTCTTTTAAAGACCCTGGGTGTTGGTGCAGCCTGGAACTTGAACTCTTGACCTCCCACCCAGAACTCTGGTACTCATCATATAACATGAGTCAGCAGAAAAAAAAAAATGCTCTGTTTAGTTTTTCAGAATATTGTCACGGTACTTGTATACGGGATCCTGTTCTACCCATTTTTTGCCTGTCTGACAACTGAAAACAGACTGGTTGGATCCTCGTTGGGATTTCTTTACGTTACCATCAGGTGAGAAGATGAATACTTTGCTTATGAACAACAATTTAAACACGCTGTGAGTTT